GTTTCTTTGTTATTTTTTTTGCAATTTGGCGGGGGAAGGTTGGAGTGGAGAATGGGGTGAGAGGACAGAAACGGGGGGAGGGGGTCCCGGGGGAAGAGTGTGGGAAGACAGAGAACCCCGGTTTGAAACCTTCCTGCAGGTTGCGGGTGTGCGTGAGTCCAGCCCGAGTGCATCCGAAAGAGCTGGTAGCTGAGTGTCCGGTCGAAGGTTGGCTTTCTCCGTCACCCTCCCCTTCAGGTGAGAAAACTTTCCTGGCCACAGGGGCCTGCGTGTGCCCGCGGTGCCCTGGCTCTGAGCGCCCTCTTGGGCTGGGGGACTCTCAGCCGGCAGCGAAACGCGTTGTCCTTGGCCCAGGCGCGCGCCCCGTCGGTGGGTAGCGTTTTCTGAGTGAACCCTGGCTGGACAGTTCTGTTGTTTGGGGAACCCTGTGTGAATCACCATGCTGATGAGAGGGAAACTGGTTTCATCCTCCCTTTCTGTGTAATGCTTTGAGGAAGGCCTTCTCAAAGTAGCCTCATTGGAAATCCTTTTTTCAGTCTTTGTGATTTCCACAGCATTTCAAATGACACAGACTCTCACATTATTACACTCAATTAAATCTGGCAACAATGAAACAGTGATGTTTTGAAAGCAAGAGGAGGAAAGTGGCCCTGCCACTCCGGAGAAGATTGGAACTTTCATACATAAATTAATTCTTATGAAACCCCCAAAAGTAAGGAGCAGTATTTCCAGTGTGTAAGGGAAGAAACTGAGGTTGAGATATTAAAAATATTTTGGCAGTTGGCGTCCCCAGTTAACAGTGGGAGAAGGGTGCTGGAAACTAGGATTGAGTCTGGCCTAATCTAGGATTAGGTATGTCAGGTGGGTACATCACCAAGAGCAGGTGCTACAGAGAGGCCTGAAACTGCAGAAGCTGTGCACCCTCAGCAAAATTTGTTCTGATGAGGATATGGCAGACAAGGTGATATTAATAGGTGACAGGGATAGGTAAAGTTGCTGCCTTTCCTTTCAAAAGCAAGAAAGCTTGTTTATACACTTGTAAGAAGAACTTGAAGCTTGAAACTGGTCTAGATTGTGGTCCTGGTGACAGGCATCCCAAAGCAGTGAAAATGTTTATAGTCATCTTTGTACAGATGTGAGAGATGAGAACAGAGCTACAAGACTTGAAAGCTGAGCTAGAAGACTTCCGAAAGAGAGAAGCATTGAGTCCTGGCAATGTTTGAGAGCAAAGTCTTTACAACCCAAGCTCAAAACCATCCAAGAAAGCATTTACAACTATTTTTTCCAGACTAACTTCTTTCCCTGTAGATTGGGGCATGCTCAATCTACTGTTCCACAGATGTGAGCTATGACTCACTGGGTAATGAGACCAGTCAAGTGAGTCATACTTTAAAACATAAAACTTAGTAGGAAAAATCAGAGTACATTGGATGAGTGAGGGTAAGTATTGCTTTGTGAACTCCATGTGTCTGTTGTCTCTTCTGCTGCCTCTGCACACCTAGCCTTGGCTGCCTCCATCCAGACCCCAAGACTAACCCCAGGTTACAGTGGGAGTAGTTTTCTACCTTGCAAGCACCATTATCAGGACCTTTGCAAAACGTGAATTTCCTTCTCCATATTTCTGTGGACTGCCAGGTGCTGATATATTTCAGCAATGAGAATTCATTTTGAATTCTTTCCTTTTGACTTTCTCATGTCTTTAGGGTGACAATACTTTGGCTAGGTGTTCCTAATGCACAGGATCCTTTGGTTATTTCCACTTTACCAAGAGAGATTCCCTAAACCAAAGACCTGAAGATAAATCATAGTCACCCCTCCCATTAGTAGACAATGTTTAGTGTGTCTCGTCTTTGCAGAAGCATTTTATTTAATTAATCTACTTATTTATTTTAATTTGCAGAAGCATTTCAGATAGTCATTCTCCATAGCTAAGGGTAAGGAGGGGAAAGGGTGAAATAAAATAAGGCTTTGTCTCTATCACTTGTATTTTATGTCACTCACCAAAATAAAGACATAGAAGGGACATAGAGCAGAGTTACAGCAACTATAAATCTGGGAGGATAATCTGGGACCCATATTATTATATCCAGACAAGAGAATATAATACTGGAATAGTGGGCTCACAGTGGGGTTAAAGGTCTATTTCTGCACTAAGATTCAGAGTCAATTTAGACAGCAAAAGATAAAGCAACCCTACTGAACAGCAGTTCATGTGAAAGAAACACCCTGGAGTTTCAGTAGCCTGTGAGCTCTGAATGAACCATTGTGTGAATAGCTGCTCAGGAGCCACTGCGGATTTCATCGATCAGGTCATGCCTTTTCTTACAGACATTTGGTGGGACTTGTTGGTTGTCAGGCATAGTCAGGAGTGTTTACAACTTTAAATCAGCCCCTGTGGACAACCCTATAAGTAGGAAATGTAATTATCACCATTCCGACTTAATAGATGAAAAAACTAAGGGAAAAAGAAATGAAATAACTTTCCTGTGGTCACATGGCTAATAAATAGTAGAGCTGAAATTAGAACTTGGACCCTGGCCACCACCATGTGCTCCCTCCCTGTGGTGTTTGGATCAAAAGAACCCAGAGTCTACTCTACTGCTTATTTCATTCTGAGCCCCATATGTGTAAAGGACAGGGGAGGTGTTCAGGCTATCTAGGGTAAATAGGTCTAGAAAACAAGTCTGACATAGGCCAAAGAATAAGGAGCACTAAGCTGGCAGAGAGGACTCTTGGCCAGGTTCTGGAAACCAGTCTAGATATCTGAAGAGCAGGAAGTAGGTTTGTTTCCAGTAGTAGAGTTAGGACCAGAAGTCAAGCCAGTGATGTGTGATCTTTAAAACTGAGGAAAAGTAGGACTCACCACTGAGTGTGTGTATATGTGTTGGACTTGATGTCCCTAAGTGCCCTCAGAATGTTGAAATTTTTATTAGAAATATGAGTAAAAATGAACTTTAATTGGAAATCAACAGTCTATCCTAAACATTTGTGCATGTGTGTTCAATAAAATAGGGTACTAAAGTTTTGACTAAGGTGTACTTTCAAGTACTATGGATTTCCAAAGGAAAATGCTAGACTACTGAGCAGAAATGTCAGCAGAGATATTTGAGAACATTTTGGAAACTTGGGAAACCACTAGCCACTTCAAGAATCTGAGGGGTTAGGCTGGGGATGCCACTCAGTGGTAGAAGGTAGCAAGCAAGGCAGGTTTCAATCTTTAGTTCTGTGGAGGGTGAGGCATGAGGGTTGAAAGGAAAGATGTTGTTGGGAAGATGTCTTAAGAGAAATGTGTTGGCACTTTATCATAAGCCTAGTACTAGTAATAGGGATTATGGATCACGAATTGAGGTGTACAAGTGTTTCCTGCCTGTATTTGAGGCTCATTAGGTGTCTTGGGCAGCTGGATTGCCTGCTTTTTCTAAGTTTGGCAGGCAAAGGATGCCTGAGGATTTCCTGGAGGCCCAAGTGGGGCCGTATAGGAAGGAGAACTAGATAATGGTGAGGATATTCCAGCAGCAGATTTCTAGAGATTCAGAGGCAGAAGAAGGAATGAGAAGCCAGCAGAAGGAAGGTGAAGACATTGAATGTGGTTCTGTTTCCTTCCTTGATCTGGAGAGGTGAGAAACTGGCCAGCAGGAGAGCGAATGGTGAAGAAGAAGAAGAAGAAGAAGAAAGCCAGCCTCCCCCCCACCTGTAGCAGGAGGCGACTTTTAGCAGGACCCTGCCACGATTGGGCAGATGTCACATTATAACCAGGTCAGGTCCTTTTTGTCCAAGACTGGACATTTTAATTCTTTTTGGTCTCTGAAGTAATTATTTAAATAGAAGAGTTGTGGAATCTGCCCCAGTATTCCTGTGAGGACAGGGAAGATAAATCCCTGGGATACATTTGAAGAGATGATGGAAATAAAAATAAAATGGAACTTTGATCATGCCCTGAAAGCTATGCCAGTTTAGAGTATAGGCTAGTTATGGATATTTGGGTTAAAGTCGTAAAGAGTAGCAAGTTATTTGCCTGATGCTATATTAACTTCTGAGAAAGATTAAGAGACAGAAGCAGTTAGAAAAGAAAACATTGCCTGGTATGCAAAGGAGTACTTCTTTAGAAGACTGGTTCAAATAAAATCACGTAAATACTTAATGGAGAATACATCACAAAATTACCAGCATCTCAAGTGTACATTAGTCTGCTGTTCATGGTTGAACTTTCTTGCATGATTTCATTTTCCCAAAGTACATGAATTATATCCAGCCATTACCATAGCAAACTGAGTTTTATTTTCTTGTTTTAAGGAATAGGGCATGTTCAAGATTTTATTATTTTGGAGACCCAACTTCCAGATAAGATGGTCATGTTATTTTCGACTTATGTTGGGAACCAAAATAACTTTATTTTCTTCATTGGAGTATGAAAAATGCTTACTCATGCCTGAAAGAGGGGAAAAGTGTGTGTTTTCACTTCTTTTTCTTCACAAACATGATTCCTCAATCCACTATAATATTGTTGAGATGTGAAGTAAAAAAACAGAAAATGAGAATTCTTTATAAGATGCTGTAATTGTGGAAGTCAAAATTCTAGGTTTGTTGACCATTTCTGTTATCAAGATTTGCCTAATTTTGCCTGATTAGAGAATATCAGTAAAACTTCATAATCCTTCAAGTGAAAATAATTTATAAATGTCAAATAACTATTCTCCTAAAAGGTACATTTGTTTCCTTCACACATGTCCTTGGCAACAGCAAAAGCAACAGTTGTGAGAAGGCCGATCAACCTAGGGCGGTGTACCCTAAGGGCTCGTTGTGAGTTTCCTGGTTGAATGGTCATCAACCTTTTTGATGCTAGAAACCAGTTTCGTGGAAGACAATCTTCCCATGGATGGAGGTGAGGGTGGAGGTTTTTTGATAATTTGTATGTCTGCAAAGTTCATATTAGGGTCTGAGATCCTAGGACAGTGATGGCAAACCTTTTAGAGACCGGTGCCCAAACAGCAAACCAAAACCCACTTATTTATTGCAAAGTGCCAACACTCCAATTAAACTTAAACAGTGAGGTTTTAATTTAGTAAAAATAAGTCATACATTAACATCTCTTGTCTTAAAACAAAAACAAATAACACAGGTGCCATAGGTTCACCACCCCTGTCCTGGGAGAATCCAATGCAGTCCCTGATCTGACTGGAGGTGGAGCCCAGGCAGTAACGCAAGTGATGGGGACAGGTTGTGAGTGAAGATCTTGGCCAGCTCCCCTCCCACTCATCTCCTGTTGTGTGGCCCAACTCTTAAAAGGCCATGGACCAGCAAGTGGGTTGGGGCTCCGCTGGGCTGGAGAAGGCAAACTTAGGAGATGAGTGAGAGGCCGTGATTGTAAACTTAAACTGTCTTTCTACAAGCCTTTGTTTACATTCTTCAGAAAATGTAGTTCTCTTTTGATTGAAAGGAAAGAAGAGGAAGAGAGGAGCCGAAATTTAGGATGAAAATCTAAAAACTGTGTCAAATAAACTGACACTATATTCCAACTAGTGTTTTAAAATTTCTACTAAATTAGCCCCATGGAAGAAAAAAGTTAACCCTCATTCCTGGGAGTCTAAAGCAGAGGTAGGGGTCATGAATGTTCGCTTAGTAGTATAGCTTATCCTGTCACATATCTCTATTATTAATTAAACATAGACAGTAATCCTCTAGGTTTACTTGTAAAATTGATGCTCCAGGAAGATGAACCAAGTATGTTTGAAGACATGAGGTCCTATTTGGCACCCTCTGATCTAAGCAAGGTGAGGAACCTGCTTTCAGTTCCCTGCTTCACCATGCCCCCTAATTCTCTTCTGGCCGGGCCCTCCCTCTAAGGGGAGGAGGCCCTAGTTTTCCTGCTCCACCCAGCCCAGTTCTTTGTCATCAGCCATCTGCTGATGTGTCTGTGGATGGACTAGGAGAAGAAACTAGAAAGACAGGAATCCTGGTTTCAGAACCCCAGACCAAGGAAAATACGATGACTATTGGAAATTTGAAGTTTCCTGTTGCTTGTCTCAATCTGTCAAATAAATCAGTGCTTTAATTTATATCTTTGTGGAATAGAGATGGGCAGATTAGTCCCTCTCCTTTTTCTTTTGCTTGTCAAAAGAATGATTTAGCTCGGGGCTGTCAAGAATGGTGTGTGATTCTTGGAGACAGATACCACGAGTGAGAAATACAAAATAGGTTTCTTTGGAAAGCCATCCTCAAAGTGCTTTAAGATATGGCTGGTCTTATTCTCCAGCGTCTTATTGTATTGCATGTTTCAAAAACTCCATTGATTATTTTTTTTCTTTTATTTTAGGTATACAGTAATTACATTCATTATTGGGATCTTGTACCTTTACATGACAGGTGGTTTTGGTTCTCATTTTTTCCCCTTGTCCCTGCCCTCCCTTCCCCATTTACAAATACTTTATTTCCATTTTTTTCATTTTCTCATATTTTTTCCCTTATTACCTTTCCCCTACCCTTCCCACTTTCCCTACACCTTTAGCCCTTTTCTTCCCACTTCACAATATCAGTTATCTCATTAGGATTCCACTGATTAAAATTTAAAGTATAGCAAATTTCTTATATGATGGACTAATTTTGCAAGGCAGTTGCCGGAACCACTGAGCTAAATCCCCATTTCTATGATGGACTAATTTTAAAGTTTCATTCACCTGGCCGTGTTGTTTCAGAATAGCACCTGTGTACATCAGTATGCAAGTTCAGTGGGAGACAGTCTGATCTTTAGGGAGTCTGATTTATTCTGTCTTGTTGTTAAAAGGAGGGGTTCAAGTAATCTATACCATGGGATTTGAGAGAAGAAAGAGAGGTCCTCATGGGATTGGATCAGACTCCATGGAGGATGTGGTGACTGACTTCTACCCTCAAAGGAAGGCAGGATCTGGAGAGAAGGGAGGCGAAAGTCCAACATGGCAGAGAGAAGAGGGTGGGCAAGCACAGCCTCCAAGAACCATCTTTGAGGGTGCCCAGCCCAGGCTCTTGTCTCTTGTACTGCAGTGAACCCCCATTTCTTAATGACGCCATTGTACCTATTGTCTTTGTCATGAGACTTTTGTGTTATCCCTTCACCACCCCTGTGTGTGTGTGTGTGTGTGTGTGTTTGTGTGTTTTGGATAGGGTGAAATTCAGTGGAGGAGAGGGTAGATCCAATGGCCTTCAATTTTTTGTCTCCACTAAATCTTTCTTAGTTAAGCTCATAGGGTTTAAAATATTCTTGTTGATCGGAATCGACTCATACTAATTTTAGCATGTTCAAAATCAGTGCCCTTTCTCCTTAAAAGGAAGGTTTATGAGAACTTAATAAATGCATCTGTTGAAGATAGCATGCAGTGAGATGGATTAATGACATTTTGAAAGTCATTTTCAAAAATGTATGTGTTGTTCAGTCAAAGCAAGAGTGGTTTGAATAACATCAGTTTTAGTGGATTTTCTAATTCAGTTTAACTCAGTAAAATGACAAAGTTTAATTTCTCATTGCAGTGTAACTCATTAAAACGAACATTGTTTTCCCAAACACAATTTCAGCACCTATATAAATTTACTGCTGTCATGACAAAATACCACTTAACAAATTAATTTTCTCAGAGTTCTGGTGACTGAAAGTCCAAGACCAAGTTGCTGGCAGGACTGGTTTCCTCTGAGGGTAGGGTGTTTTCCAAGCTTCACCTTGCACATAGCCACACTTTTGCTGCTTTACACAAGATTGTCCCTCCATGCATGCACCCTAGTGCCTCTCTCCGTGTCCTACATCAGTCAGATTGGGTCAGGGCTACCCTAATAGCCTCCTGTTAACTTAATCACCTCTTTAACAGCCCTTTCTCCAAGTACTGTGTGGCCGCATTCCAAGGAAGTAAGAGTTAGGGCTTCTGTAGTACTATATGAAAGGAACAGAGGCCCAGGATTTAGCTCAGTGATTCTGGCACCTGCATTGCAAGCGCAAGGGTCAGAGTTTGATCCCCGGTACAAAACAACAACAACAACAAAACAAAAACAAAAACAAAAAAACCCAAAAGAAAGGAACACAATTCAGCCCACAACACACCCCATCTGTCTGTCTGTCTGTCTGTCTGCCTGTCTGTCTGTTGGCTATAGCTGGGTATGTTGGCACAAACCTGTAATTACAGGAGGATCTCTGTGGGTTCAAAGCCAGCCTGGGTTACATAGCAAGATTCTGTCTCCAAAAAAAATCTATCTATATATACTCATGTGTGTGTGCACATATGTGTACAACAAGTACACACCCATAACTTATACAAAAGATACACATAGTGAGTTAATGATACATGGAAAGGAATTTGGTTACCTAATAGTAGGTCTGGTGGGAATGTCACAATGTTCCTTTCATTCCTTCTCTCTTGCTTTTAGAGGAGGAGAGCATTTCAGCTGTGACAATCACTATCATGTGAATGTAGCGGGCAGAGGCAGTGTAGTGCAAGCCCACAAGGAAGTGCCTGGATGTTGTGATAATACTGATCGCAGCCTGCAGCTCACCTCTCTGGGAGACAGCTGCCTTTATTATGAAATGTATCTATCCCATTTGTGGGATGCTTAAGATGACTTTTTAGCTATGAAATGATAACTTTTAATGAGAATTAAAAAAAATTTCCTTACTTGACAAAATAAAATTGTTCTCAACCCAGGTCTGCAAAATCCAGCTGGTCTCCAGAAAAAATTCCCAGCAAGTAGGCCAGTTCAATCAGATAAAGTTGCTTTCTCTTTAGCATTAGAACCCACTAACTTTAAATGTTAACCCCAAGAAAGGACCTAAGAGCTTATAATAATTTTTAATTTTTTTTCCTGATTTTAAAGTGACACAAGTAGATATTTTAAAAAGAAAATACAAAATATACTCTTCTTCTATGAAAAAAATTCATAGCAAAATAATAAGAGGATAATAATGGTTATGTATACTATAACCATATGTAATATACTGTGAATAATGATCTTATAAGAATGGTCAAAATGTTACTAACAGTGCAAGTCATAAATAAAAGGACTCTCTTACAAAGAACAAGCAAATAAAAGGACAAAACTTTTTTTTTTTCAATGAACAAAAGAAACTAGTGGTGTAAATGAAACAAATTAGCATTTATTTTAAAATAGTTTTGAAATAACATAGATAATTTGGGGATTTATTTGAACTTCTCACTATTTTGTATTTACTATTTTGCTTTAGATACAGATATAGATAGATATAGATCTTACTCACGTAAGAGGAACCATGGGATATTCAAGCTTGTGTCTGACTTATTTAATTTAACTTATGTTCTCCAATTGCATCCATTAGCTTATGAATGCCTCAGGTTTATTTTTCTTTATGGCAGAGTAGTATAAGGAAATGGGTGAAAAGTAACCTTTCTACATTGTTGGTGGGAATGTAAACTACTTTAACCACTATGGAAATCAGAGTGGAGATTCCTCAAAAAGTTAAAAATAGAAATTCTGTTGGATTTAGCTATCCCCCTTTTAGGTAACTTCCCAAAGAGTTAAAGCCATCATATTATAAGGATACATGCATTCCTGTATTTATAGCAGCAAAATTTATAATAGCTAAATCTTAGAAACAATGTATATGCTCACCACCTATGAGTGGATAAATGTGGTATTTATACACAGTGGGGTTTAGCATAATCTGTAACAGTGCTGCTGAAATGAGCTGGGCTAATGACAGTGAGGGACAACAGAAGGTGAGGCTTATAAAAAGGAGGATTTGGAAAGCAGTCATGTACTTTCAGCACAGATATTTTCCATCTTTTCTTGACCCTACTGGTTGAGAAGGGTTTCCTTACAGGTGGATAGATCTCCAGAACTTTTTTATTACCGCAAAACTGAAACTTCTTATGCATTAAACAGTAACTTCCC